ATAAGTGCTAAGTTTATAGTCTTTAGCTAGATTATACCAATTATTTTATTTCAGGATGAACAAACTCAATTGTATTTCTCAATCGTTCAATGTCTCCACTTAAATAAGATTTTAGTCTGTAGATTTTAACTTTAATCTTTTCTCTTTTATTCCTTCAAAATTAGAATTCAATTATTTAATAGCCCAAAATACTCTATGTTCTAATTCTAAAAGAAGGTGGCAAGGTTTCGAAAATTTTATTTATAAGGAGTCTTAAAAGTAGTTCTATAAGCCCATAATGCTTAATCTAACGTAACAGCCCAATCCTTTGTGTTAGAATTGACATTTTTTTCAAAATATGTTTTATTTCCCTATTGATAATTTCAACTTGGACACTAGTTTGGGAATGATAAGCTTGTTGTAATTCTATGATACTATTGCTATTCTTTTATTACAGAAATAAAACTTCCTCTATCATTGATAAAAACTCGAGACATTCCAAATCTAGAAAATATATTTTTCTTTAAAAATTTAATTACAACCTGAGCATTACTTCTAGTGGTTGTCACCCCTTCAATCCCTTTTGAAATATAATCCACAACCATAAGAATATATTGACTTTCATGTGATTGCACAAAAGATCCAATAAAATTCAGTCTTCAGATATCAAATGTCTCATTCTCAAAAAATATAGTTCAAAGGCATTTCATTTCCTTTTGAAACATTGACTACTCTTTGGAATTGATCATACTTTCTAATATATTCATTTACATCTTTAAATAGAGTAGGCAAAAAAAATCTACATTGAAGGTCTTTAGAATCAATTCTAAATTCTCAGAAATATCCTCCATAATATGTATAATGATACTCCCTAATGATTGGTTCATTTTTTTCCTCAGAGACACATCTTCTAATAAATTGATCATTACAAGCTTTAAATAAATAAGGTCCATCCCAAAAATAATATTTGATATCATGCAAAAAATTTCTCTTTTGAATTGAAAATAAATCATATGTAAGTATAATGCTAACAATAAATTTAACAATGTCAGCATACCATGATAATCTGTTAAGATACGAAGCAAACAATTATTCAACAAAAAATATTCATTAAATTCAATCTCAGTTGATGCATGTTTTTTATAGAAAGTCTAAAAATATGATCAACAATTTGATTTTAATCCCTTTTCTATCCAAAATTTCAATATCAAATTCTTGCAACAGAAGAATCCATCTCACCAATCTATGTTTAATATCTTTCTTTGTCATAAGATATTTAATAGCAAAATGATCAGTATAAATAATTACTTAGGTACCAACCAAATACGATCTAAACTTGTTAAAAGCAAAAATAATGGTTAGCCCTTAAGCAACTTCTTCAACATCTCCTTCAAGATGAAAAATTGTCAATCCATCTTCACATGGATGACTGAAATTTGACTTTTAAGATCTAAATATTGAGTTTGAAGATCTAAAATTTTATATTTAAATTGTCTGATCTCCCATTCCAACACTTCTACCTTTCTTCCTACCATAGGTACTTAGATTTATGCTCCAAAAGAAAAAAAAATGCAATTTTAAGGAAAATATGGCCTCCAAAAAAAATTAGCAAGCTCGGAAAGGAAACACAGCAGAAATCAGGGATGACGACTTCTATTTTAACCCAGAAAATTGCTCTAATACTAATTTGATAGGAAGTTCATATTTTTTTTTCACAAAATCACAGATGAAACACAAAAAATTGAGAAGATGGATGCCCTTAAATATTTTTTATTAAAAAAACTATAAAGAGAAATGCAAAATACAAGTGGATCATCAATTGGAGAAGAAAATCTGGCTCTCCCAAATCCCTAGTCGCCGACTAGAGCCCAAATAGCCTAAAGAATAAACTAAATTCAGCAAACAACACATCTCTCTAATCCTAGGAAAAACACCCTACTTAATACATACAATAAACAACAAATACCAAAACAGTCCTCCCTCTATTTCCTCCCAAATTATGTTATTTCCTTAATTATTTCCCACTTAAATAAGGCCCCAAATCTACCCTCTTTAATAAAGAAACGCTTCTTAATTAATCCCTCCAAATTAGCCCTCTTCAATTAAGAAATATTTGTTAATAATACCTCAAAATCAGCCCCTAAATCTATCATCTTCAATTAGAAAATATTTCCTAACTAATCCCCTCCAAATCAGCCCCAAATCTATCCTCTTCAATTAGGAAATATTTACTAATTAATCCCCTCCAAATCAGACACCAAGAGTTGGTCTAGGAAAGGAATGGCAAGACCGGTCTAGGAGGAACCCGGTCTAACACAAATGTTACAATTAAGGCTGGCTGAGTAATATGAAAAGGATGGGTTAAACTAACAAAATTTTAGAGAACTTGATGAGGCTTTCGTGTAGTTGCAATATGATAATGAGGCTATCTCATTTAAATCTAATAAAGAAAGATCATTTCAAATATTTTCTAACCAAGTCTTTTTTGGTCTACCTCTACTATTCTTAACATAAGTCAAATCTAATACCTAAACTTTCCTAATCGGGTCATCGAAAGGCCTCTGTTTAATGTGACCAAACCATCTAAGGCGACTCTCTCAAATCATATCTTCCACTGGAGCTACTTCAACCTTTTCACGTATGTGCTCATTTCGTATTCTATCTCTAAGGGCCAAGCCACTCATCCACCTAAGCATCCTCTACTCTGCAACACTTAACTTAGTATTATGCTACTCTTTTAATGGTCAACATTCAACACCATTAAGCATTGCAGGTCTCACCATCAACTTTTTGGAATAAAAATATTCCAAAAAGATGCCAAGAAAATTCCTAGAAAAAGAATATTCAAAGGAATATTCCATTTAAAAATATGGCGGGCCCCACAAAAGAAGCTCTAAAAAAACTGCTCTCTCTCTCTCTGAAAAGAGAAAAAATCCCTAAAAAATATCTAATAAAAAATAAAAAAGCCCACGATTATCACAAAAAAAAATTAAAAAACTTAGTGCGGCCAGCGGTTGCCAGCTGCCTTCAAACTGCGCTCCAAGGGATGTGTCTATCCACGCGCAATGGTGCAGGTAGTGGCAGGCAGCGGCGGCCGGCCATCCGGCTGGTTCAGCCGTCGAAACACGTCTGGGCTCGATTTTTTGGTCCAGAGAGTCCAAATCGGACGTTTTTAAGTCCCCGAATACGTTTTTCAATGTTCCAGGCTTAATTTTGATGCTTTCGGAGCTCAACGGGACTTTTATGATCATCTTTGAGCAAAATTATATTTTTTTAACGCAATTTTTTGTGATTCAATCAATTTGAAATGTTGTGACATATATTTTTGGACTCTATAGACTTCGACATCTGAAAATATAGGGGAAACTAATATATCACAAAAAAAATATCTTGATCAAGCATGAATTTCGAGGCAAAATCAAGTTTGAAGCTTCAAAGATTAAATATGGGACCATCTGAGCTCCAATTTCAGTGAACTTACAGTCGAATTGAGCGTCTCAGAAATACGATCCCAACAAAACCAAATTCAATTCAATTCGAGCCCAAAATGGTTCAAATCAAAGACCCAAAGCACATTTGGAAGGTTCAATTCATAATTTAGATTACTAAACAATTTCCAAGTATAGCATGCTTATTGTCGAATCGAGCGGCTCGACGAGATGAATCCAACGAGCCCAAGATCATCAAATTTTGATATCATTAAGCATTCAAATGCCTGATAAACGGTCCATGATCAAGAGATTCAACATCGGCCGTCCATTCAAATCACTCTCAATTTATCCCCGATCTTCCTCCTTTTTACTACATCCTCAAAAAACTATAAATAGCCCCTCATTTCTCTCAAGAGGGGACCCAAGCAAGAAGAGAGGAGAATAAGAGAAGAGAAGAAGAGGAGGGAAGAGAAGGAAGAAGCTCCTCCTCGACCACCGTCGGAGTTTCTACTGACTTTCAAGTGACGCCAGAATTTCGTTCGACCTCCAAGTGACGTTGGAGTTCCTCTCCATTCGACCACCAAGGGACGTTAAAGTTCCTCCCGACTTTCAAGTGACGCTAGAGTTCCACCCGACTTTCAAGTGACGCTAGAGTTTCGTACGACCTCCAAGTGACGCGGGAGTTCCTTCTGACTTCCAAGTAACGTCTATGTCCGACAAACAACGAACACCAAGCTTCTGACATCAGCATTCTGATATATGTTTGCAATTAAATTTCAACTCGGGAGTTGATTATTGCAATATGATCGTCCTAAATTTTAAGGACGAGTCAGGCTCTTGTAACTCAAGCAAACACTAATGGAATTGTTTCAACTAGGCGTGACCCTATGGTTTTTCCCTTTCCAGGGCTTTCCACATAAAAATCCTTGTGTTTTATTTCTCTTTAGTTTGTATGCTGGATATCCGTACAACGCTAAGACAAAAAATTTTAACTCTATCGCCGCATATATTCTAGCCTGCAACAATTGTGATATTAGCAAAGAGATCAATATTAATAGATGAAATTCTAGCAAAATGTCAAATCATAAATCAAATCACGTGTTCTATGAGAGATCATGCAAGATACCAAAACATTGAATACTTTAGGAAAATAATGTCACCATGCCTCGAGTGGAGTAATTTTCTCATCGGCCTGGCATGTGAATCACACTCCAAACCAAGGCGTCTAAATCTAAGTGTTCCCACATTTCCCTCGTTCTCTCTTTCTCTCTTTCTCTATTACGTCAATCAGACTAACGAGAGGTAAATGAAAAAAGAAAACGAGTTAATAGGATAAATCCAAAGATGTTTTAGTCATTTACCAACATTCGGCACCATAAAATATTGCAGGTCTCACCACCATCTTTTGGAATAAAAATATTCCAAAAAGATGCCAAGAAAATTCCTAGAAAAAGAATATTCAAAGGAAAAGATGAAAAGATAAGTTTTAAACGGTATATCAGTGATTACATAACTTTGGGTGTTGAGTATATATTTATAATATTTTGAAGTGTTATATATATATCCCAAAAAAAAAAGTTGAAGTTGCACAACAAACAAAGCCCCTAAATCCACTGCTCTTCCTTAATTTATGCAAAAATTATTATAAAATTGGACACCAAGTTATTCACGTTAATCGTTCTCAAACTGCTCCGGTCAATCCTTATCTTTCCTGATTTTAATGTCCATATTCATTGAAATGAAATAGTTCATAAAAAAATTAAAATAGGAATCTTTATTAGGACGAAAATTTCTGTTCCCCAAAAAAAGAATATTGCGGCCTGGGTCCCACAGTTCACACCGAATCATAACACAAACTCAAATTCAGTCCTCCTCGGCCTCGGTTCGCACGCCTCGACACAAAAGCACGCCTCCCGCACTTTGACCGTTGATTTTTGACTCTCCCCACCACCTCGCCACCACTTTTTCCGCCCACCGCACCATTGCGCGCATAGTTTAATAGCAGCTAGAAGCAATCAGAAAAAGAAATAGGAAGGAGGAGCTTCAAGTTTACCTGATATGCAATGAGGAATCGAAATCGATCGCACAATAGCAGCGATCAAGAGATAGGAAGAACTCCTCTTCTCTGCCTCGACGTCAGCAAAACAGAGCCGCCTCCCAGCTACTTCCGGTGCCCCATCTCCCTAGAAGTGATGCGGTCGCCGGTGAGCCTCTGCACCGGCGTCACCTACGACCGCTCCTCCATCCAGCGTTGGCTCGACTCCGGAAACACCACTTGCCCCGCAACCATGCAGCCCCTCCACTCCACCGACCTCGTCCCCAACCTCACCCTCCGCCGCCTCATCCACCTCTGGTCTTCCTCCACCTTCTATTCTGACCAACATCTCCCCCCTCTCTCTGACCTTGCCCGCGCCCTCTCCGACCCCGCTGTCGACGAAGCCTACAAGCTCAGCCTCCTTTCTTCTGATGCTCTCCGCCCCTCCACCCTTGCATCCCTCTTCGACAGCCATGAAACCCTCGAACTCGCTGTCACCCTCATCTCTCTCCTCCTCTCTCTCGATCTCGTTGACGCGGGTAGAAAACGGGCATTGATCACCGCTCTGTTGTCAGATCTCGACGCTACCACCTCCGGCATTGTCTCCGTTCTCAAGGGGGGCCCGGATCATTCTACTTCTCGGGTTGCCGCCGCTAGAGTTTTGGAAATGTTGATCGCGGAGACGAAGATGGTGATTGCAGAGAAGCCGGATCTGATGACGGAGCTGGTGAGGCTAATTGGCGAAAGTGATCCGGAGTCTGTGGATGCGGGATTGCGATGCCTGATGGGAATTAATGGGGCGGGGAGGAGAGCGATGACAGAGATCGTGAGAATGGGTGTAGTTCCTGCAATTACGAAAGTGATGGAGAGAGAAGGGGATGGGATCCCGGCGCCGGTTGTGGCAAGGGCGATGCGGGTTTTGGAGTTGGCGACCGGGTGCGCCGAGGGGAGGGCGGCGATCTGTGCGGAGGCGGAGAGGTGCGTCGCGGCGGTGGTGGGGATGATGATGAAGGTTGGGAACGAGGGAAGTGAAGCGGCTGTGGCGGTATTGTGGAGTGTGTGCTGCGCCGGCGGCGGTGATCGTCGGGCTAGTGAGGCGGCGGCAGCAACGACGGGGGGATTAACGAAGATACTGATGGTGATGCAGGGCGATTGTTCACCGTCGACAAGAAAGATGGCGGGAGATTTGCTTAGGGTTTTCCGGGGAAATGATAGGAGCTCCATGGGAGCCTCAGGATATGATTCCAAGACGCTACACGTTATGCCGTTCTGAAAGAAATGGCGGCGTTAATTGTTCTTATGGAAATTTTGGAAAAAAGATGAAAATGGTTGGAATCAGTAATTTATTTATAAATGTGAAAGAATAAATTTTAAAAGATAATAAAACTAATGATATGTATGACTTTTACATATTGGATTAATTATAATAATTATGGTAAGCATATTAAATTATTGCCTTATTATGATAATTATGGTAAGAATATTAAATTAAACTAATGGGTTTTTTTTAATATTTTTACCTTATTATGATAATTATGGTAAGAATATTACATTATTATAACTAGTTGAAATTTAGGCATATTGATTAGGCAAAATTAAGCCAATGAAATAAAAAAATAAAATTAATATAAAAAAGAAGAAAAATGGTTCATCAATAGTGGCATAACTAGAATTTGAGAGAAAAAAAGTGAGAAAATTTTGATTATATTTAATGAAGATGAGTTATAATTTTTTTAATTTAATTTAAAATAAATATAATGCATAATAATCAATAAATTTTTATATATTACTCAGCTTAAAAAAAATTAAAGAATTTTAAAATTTATTCATGCTAAAATATATTCACCTTTTTTTTCTTGGAAGTTGAATCAAAATACTCCTAAAAAAATAACTCTTTATTTTCCCTTAACATCGAAGAAATTGAGGAGGATTAGGTCGGCCATAAATTGTAGACATGATGATACAATTAATGGCGATGATGGTGGTGATGATGATAAAATTAATCTTTGGTGATTTATAATTTGATTTTCTTAAGTAGGATTTTCTATATAATAATATAGGGTATTTTATTTTGCATATATTTTTGTATTGACTTAATTCATATGCCACTAATAGTTCAATAGGCTAATTTTATTGCACGCATTTTTTATTTTACTCATCATATGTTATCTCTCAATACAGCTAAGTAATGAGATAATAAAACTAAATTTAAAAGGAAAATCCAATTAAACTATTTGATATTTACAAGTATAGTAATGATGAATATTTGAAAGAATTTTTCTTAATGTTATCTTAATGTGATCGACATGACTACTTAAAATGTCTAGAAAATTTTCTCTTGATGTTTACATGATAAAAGATAAAGAAAACTAAATTCTTTGATGATGCAACTAAACTCTCACAAGTATATGCAGGATAGAAAATCATATGCGAATTAACACGATATCATGAAATCATGAGAAAGCGAGCTATCACTGATGCCTCTTTCGAGCACTTTTTGAGAAGAATGATAATTCAAGTGAGGATATTGAGGAAGAAGAGAGAGCACCTGCACCTGCTCAAGGACCTGACTTTCAGGAGATGGTCTAGCGCTTTAACCGATCAGATAGTCATTTTGATCAACATTTTGATCAAATTAAGACTCACCTAAATCAGCAGGATGTATAGTACCAGCAAGACATGGGTTGGATCAGAGGTCAGTTCGAATCGGTGAACACTAATACAACTAAGATGAATAACTATTTCTTTATCTTCAACCAACCTCCTCCTCTAGACCAGGGTCCCTCAGAGTTCTAGATGTACTTTTTTTATGTACTTGTCTTTGTTTAGATTTCATATTAATGTTATTGATGTTATGTTATCTTTATTATTTTGAATTGATATCAAAAGAGCTTCAATGTATTTGATCTTTAAAATGATATCAATAAAAAATATATTGTTTTGATTAGTTGCTTTTGTTTTTTGTTTGAATTGTAAGTTTGTCTATATGATAATCTTGTCTTAATTGATCAAAAAAGTATTATAAACTAAACTGCAATACAAAAATTAATTTTATTATGAAATCCAATTTTTCAAAAATTTAAGTTAACTTATAACTAGATTAAGTTAAGCCTTAATCTAGGCGATTTTTCAGACTTGGTTCTGGGCGATTCTAGGGTTTGGTCTTGGAGGTCCTCTGGTGGCGCTTCTCGCGTGGATCTCTCTAGTTTTCTCTCTGGTTTTCTGGTGATTTTGTTCCTTGCTCCCTTCGTTGCTCTCGGCTTTTACTTTGGTGGTTGTTTCTTCGTGGATTTTGCCTCTTTCTGTGTTTTTTTGGTGTTGTCTTTCTCTTCTGTGTGTTTGAGAGGGTTTCTGGTCTGATTGGCCTTCTGGTTAGTTCTTTCGGGGGGATGACGACTTCGTCGTCGATCCTTTAAAGAAGCGTTAGCTGGTGATGCTTGTTCTTCTTCGAATCTGAAATTTGTTCAATCCTCTTTCAAAGGATGTCCTGCTCTTTTGATTGAGGATTCGGTGGTTGCTCAACTGGCTAAACCTTTTGCTCTTACCCTTGTGGGAAAATTTGTGCTTAAGAGTCCCAATATTGATATTATTCAAAATTTTTTTTATAATCGTAAGCTGTCCGGCACTTTCCATGTAGGTTTACTCGATCCCAGGCATGTAACTATTCAATTGACGAATGATCTGGATTATAGCAGGATTTTCTCTAGGCGTTCCTATTACATTCAATCCTTTTAGATGCGGATTCTCAAATGGACTCCCGACTTAGATGTTCGTCATGAATCTCCTATTGTTCATGTATGGGTATCATTTCCTAACTTTAGATTGCATTTCTTTAATTCTCAAGTTTTGTTTGGTTTGGCTTCTATTCTTGGTCGGCCACTGCAAACTGATCAGGCGACGGCTTCGGTTTCCCGACCGTCTGTGGCCAGGATTTTGGTTGAGGTGGATATTTCGAAAAAATTTCCTAGTGAGATATGGCTTGGGTCAGAACTGAATGGGTATTTTCAAAAGGTGGAATTTGAAAATTTTCCTATTTTTTGTACGCATTGTAAAATGCGTGGTCATAGCATGAACAAATGTTTTAAATTACATCCTAACCTTAAGAAAGCTAAGGAACAACTTAAACCTTCTAAAGTTCAAGAGGTCAATACGATTAAGGGTTGTAATCATGATATGTTGGAAGGAGATGATATTGGTAAGGAGGTAGAGGAGCTACCCACCTCTCAGGTTGGCATTATTTCTACGGATATTCAATCTCCTGATCTTCTTGTTAGGGAGGTGGGAAAAGGTATTGTGAATGATGTGGGGGAAGGTAATGTTTCTCAAGATTTAGTCAACAATATGATTCCTAACTTACCTCCACAATCTGCTTTTGATTCTAATCTAACTGTTATTCATGCTATTATGGAAGAAGTTAATAATATTTTGGATGTCAATACTAATGTTATTATTGAGTCTAATCAGGTGAAAGAAGATGGGTTGCAAGCTTTGGTTAGTTCTCCTATAAATACTATGGCTACTGCTCCTAATATTCTCACTACCGTGGTTGAGGAGGCGGGTCTACCTCAGCCTAATGCCACATCCGTGACTGGTTCTGTTCTGATTGAGGATGTTAATGGGGAACCGTCGGGTAATAATAAGTTCAATAAAGGTAAAAGTCAGGTGGAAGGTAATGAACGTTTTTTAACCTCGTTAGAGGATGGTGTTTTTTATTTGGAAGATGAGAGGCCTTCAAAGGGGCCTTCTAGTAACTTAAATGATAAAACTATGTTGTTATCTGATCTTTATCTTTCTGATGCTTATACTGATACAAAAATTGACATTTTAGCTAAATGCTATACTAGAGAAGATAATGACCTTAGTTTCTCTAAGGGTCGTGGCAAAAGGGGAAGGAAACCTAGTAGTGTTATTTTACAATCGCCTAGAAGTACCAGATCACATACTTCTCATTAATGTTTTTTATGTTTAATGTTATTATTTGTAATGTGAGGGGGATTGGTTGTCCCTCTTCTAAGCTTAGAGTTAAAAATCTTTGTCGTATTCATAATATTGCTATTCTTATTTTACTGGAACGGCTTATTTCTGTGGATAAATTGTCTAGAACTGCTAGGTTTTTGGGTTTCAATAATGCCAAGTCTAATATTTCTAACAAAATTTGGATCTTTTGGAAAGATTTTGTTAGGATTGACTTCCTTGGTGATTTTACTCAAGTGATTCATTGTAATATTGAAAGCTCTAATTGGCAATGTTGTGCTTCTTTTATTTACGCTGCTTGTTCTCATTATAACAGGAGGATTTTGTGGGATCAACTTTTGCATTTTAATAATATTTGTAACCTCCCTTGGCTGGGGGGGGGGGGGTTTCAACCCTTTTTCTATTTCGGTTGAAAGCACTATTTCTAATTCGGATGAAAGGTTAGGTGGGTCTTCTCCTATCTACCAATCTATGGATGAATTTAATGACATGATTATGGCTTGTAGTCTTATGGACATTGGTTATTCGGGTAATAAGTTTACTTGGAATAGGGGGCATTTGTGGCAAAGATTGTATAGGATTCTTTTCAATAATTATTGGGTGAACACTTTTAATTTAACTAAAGTTGAGCATCTTAGTCGTACTTTGTCGGATCATTCTCCGTTGCTTATTAATATTAAGAATAACCCTACTTATTTTCCTGCTCAGTTTAGATTCCAAAATATGTGGCTTCATCATGATTCTTTTCTTGATGTTGTGCAAGTTAACTGGAATGCCCCTGTTTTTCCTGAGGATTCTATTTTTGGCATGAATAGGTTATGTCTTAAGCTCAAAAGGCTTAAATTAGTTTTGAAATTGTGGAATCAAAAAGTTTTTTAAATTTTTTTTAACAATATTCTTAATGCTGAGTCCAAAATTGCTAACATTGAGGATATTTGTCAGTATAACCCCTATGAGGCCAATTTTTGCATTCTTAGGGAAGCTAAAGAGGTGCTTTCTAAGCTCTAGATTCAGGAAGAAACCTATTGAAAACAGAAAGCGGCTACCAAACATTTAGTGCAGGGTGACAATAATACTAAGTATTTTCATTCTCTGGTTAATAAGAAACGTGCCATGAACTATATTCATAAAATTGCTACTGTTAACGGTTCTATCACTGAAGATAAAAATGAAATTGCTAGCTTGGCTGTTAATTTCTTTCAAGGTCATCTGAATAAAGCTTTTATTCCTAATATGAATGTGGACTCTTCTATTATTCCGAAGGCTATTACTATGGAGGATAATGAGGACCTTTCTAAGGATCCTCTTATGGAAGAGATTAAGGGTATTTTATTTAACATGAATGTTGATTCTGCTGCTGGGCCCGACGGCTTTACTACTAAGTTCTTTACTACTACTTGGTCT